TCTCCCCCATTCTTTTCCTTTATTATTATTATTCTTCTTCTTCTTCTTCTTTCATTCTGTTTCTCTCCCTTTTTTCATTTCTTTCTCCTTTTTTCTTCTATTTTCTTCTTCCTCTGACCTTCCAATCTAGTAGCCTCTTTCTTCTTCTTTCCATCTTCTTCTCCTCTCTTTTTTTCTCCATTCCCATCGGATTCTGTTCATCCCCCCATTTTTTCTTCCTCTTCTTCTTTTTCTTCATCCTCCCCCTTCAGATTTGGTCCAGATCTGAGAAATCTAATTCAAATCTGTGACAGATTTTAGGAAAAATGAAGGATCTTTATCAAGTATTCTTCGTCTTCTTCCGACCCCTTCGATTCTCCCACCAGTGGGAAAAGGTCGCCGGAATTTCTCATTGATTTTGGAATGATACAGTTAGGCAGCAAGTTTGTGCTAGGTTTTCCGACGAAGATTTTGGGAATTGGGGACAGGATGTTGGGGTAGAAAAATGTGAAGGGTATAAATGGAAAGTCAATGTAAAATTTAACATTTCTTAATCTCCGTGCCCGGTCAAACTCTGAACATTAAAAATGGACGGAGGGAGTAAAATTTAACATTTCTTAATCTCCGTGCCCGGTCAAACTCTGAACATTAAAAATGGACGGAGGGAGTATGATTTAAATCCGTGAATAATGGATAAGACAAGTATAACGAGATGATGAGAGTAACTCATAAAATTAAAGATTATTTTTATTAAAAAAATATTAAATTGGATTAATTTTAATGCCAATTACATAAAATTTGCATGGTGTATTTTCGAAAAAAAATAAATTTCAGAAAAGAAATTAATTTTCTTTCAGTAACCTATTCAATTTTAAATTGATTGATAATCAAAGTTTATCCAGTCTGACTTCAAAAGTCAATTTAGATGAATAGTAATTTTTATTTCAATTAATAAAATGATAGATGAAAGCATGTAAAGAAAAAATATCTGATTTAAATCCGTGAATAATGGATAAGATAAGCATAACGAGATGATGAGAGTAACTCATAAAATTAAAGATTATTTTCATTAAAAAATATTAAATTGGATTAATTTTAATGCCAATTACATAAAATTTGCATGGTATATTTTCAAAAAAAAATCAGAAAAAAAATTAATTTTATTTCAGTAACCTATTCAATTTTAAATTGATTGATAATCAAAGTTTATCCAGTTTGACTTCAAAAGTCAATTTTGGATGAATAGTACTCCCTCCGTCCTAAATCTTTCTTCTCAGTTTGACTTTTTTCTATTTTTAATTTTTGGCTTTTACTTCAAATTTTATCCTCCTTAAAAAAGATTTTTTGAATTTTTTTTTTGCAATCATTCAAAATATAGAGTTAAGAGATAATTGGTGTAAATACATGATGGTATTAATGTCATTTGTCATCTTTTTTTTCTTATGGGAAGGTAGTTTTAGGACGGAGAAAAAGGTGAAGTGGAAAGAAAGTTTTAGGACGGAGGGAGTAATTTTTATTTTAATACTACGAAGTACTTTGTAAATAAAGATTTTTTATTTTAGCGTAGTTAAAAGAAGTAAAATCAAATATGTAAGGAAAGAATATGAGTAGAAACCGAAGGAATTAAACAAAAAAAAAGAAAGACAAAAATGAAACGTACAAAAAATGGATATGGAATACAAAATAAACAATACTCCGTATGTAGTTTAAAAAAGGAAAAATTGCCTAAAATAATCCCAACTTTACCCGGTCTTTCAAAAATAATTTCACCTTTCACTGTGATGCATAATAATCCCAATTTTACTAAAATTTGCCAGTTTTGGGTCGCCGTTAAGTTTCTAACGGAGGATTAACGGAAATGCCCGTTTTAGGCAACAAAATGAAAGTTGGGATTATTTTTGATGAGATTTCATTTTTTTTATTTTTTTAAATTTTTCATTTAAATTTTTTAAATTACTTTCTATCTCCATCGTCATTTCTTTTTCCTTTTTTAAAGATAAGTCTAAGTTTAAAAACAAAATAATAGATATAAAAAATGAAAAAATGAGAAATGTAACTAAAATGATACAAAAATAATAAAATAAATAAGGTAATCAATGGAAACTAACTTGAAATTGGTAAAAGTAAAATAAAAATATACGGGCGGGTTTTAATATTTTACGCATTATACAAAGTATTAACATATCACTTCTTATTTTTTAGAAAAAATTATCTAAAATAATTCCAACTTTACCGGATGGCTTGTTCTTTTAAAAAATAAGTAGTACATTAAGACTCCGTATAGTGTGTAAAATGTTAAAACCCACCACTCCGTATATATTTATTTTATTTCTTACTAGTTTCTGTTTAATTTCTATTGATTACATTATTTTAAACTAATTAAAACATACCAAAATCAATAAAAAGAGTAAAAGTAATAAAAAATATAGATAAAAAAAGATTCCATTCTTATTAGAAATTTTTTCTTTTTCTTTACCTCCAACTTTCATTAAGTTTTTTAAATTTATTTTTAAAGTTTTTTTTAATTTTTTGTTTTATTCATCAAAAATAATCCCAACTTTCATTTTGTTACCTAAAACGGGCATTTCCGTTAACCCTCCGTTAGAAACTTAACGGCGACCCAAAACTGGCAAATTTCAATAAAGTTGGGATTATTATGCATCACAGTGAAAAGTGAGATTATTTTTGAAAGACGGGTAAAGTTGGGATTATTTTGAGTAATTTTTCCTTTAAAAAAAGTCAAAACCCTAGTTTCAAACTCTCAACCTGAGTACTGGATAACTACTGGCACAGAACCCGCTTTCCATTCCGTCAACGCTTCCATGTAATAGATATTGCGTTTTGTTTGATGTATAGTAATACTAAATTTTTACCTATAGTATATAAATATATATAAAAAATTACAAAATTCCCGTGGTCCGCCCCTGAGTGCAACAGAACTCTTTAGAGATTTTTCTTCTTTTCAAATCAATGGGCCAATAATAGAAAATGCATCTAACTTAGGAAGGATATTTAATATTTCACTTTTTTTAAATTTATCTGGGGTTGATCCATTGTGATGTCCGCAGACCTCAAATACCTATCTAATGCGAGAGCACTGCGATAATCATATATGCACAATGATCTATCGAAAATGCATATCATTGTTTTTAATTTTGCATCCTCCCACAAGTACTTCGTCCTAGTAAATCATTCTGGATTTTACATAATATTCATTATTTGATGCTTTGAATATTTTATATAATGCATTAAAAATGCATACTGTGGGAGTTTTCAGAGTAAGGAATTGAAAAAGGCTGAGAATGTGTTGTGTTTAGAACAAATGTAATATAGATTTGATAAATAGTTTGCCTATGCATTATTCAAACTCACTTATGTAGTACATATTACTCTCTTGTTTGAGCTAATAGAGAAAAATTAATTTTTTTCAAAATGACACATCTTGCACTTGAACTTATTAAATACACATTTTAGTATTTTAAAATTTGAATCATTCGGCATTTTCTAACTCATATTCAAATGCATCATTGAATATTTTAAATGCATCATCATTTACAAAAATTACTATTTAATATATATAGATGCATCATTTGTGTCAGAAAAATTTCACCATCATATGTATAAACTTAGATTTTGATGAGGCACAATAACGAAACATTTATTCTAATAATGCATTACCTTCTCATATAAATGCATTACTTTGGATCTAATAATGCATAACCACTCAAAAAGAGCAAACAGAAATGAAACTTCATTTATTTTCAGAAATTCCATTTTGAACATTTTTTTCATTTCAAACAATATATGCTTTCAAGTTAATTTTTTTCATATTTAAATTAAATAAAAGGAAATAAACTATACACAACTTAAAAAAATGCACCAGAATTTCCATTAAACACAATAAATATGTTAGTCTTATTTTTCAAAAAAACTTTAATTACACTTTTAGATCCAAAAACCCAACCAGTTTCGAGGTTGTTTGTTTAGAATAGTGATCAGGGCAAATTAACGTTCTTAGAAAAGTCAATCTTACAGGGGGTGAGGTTGAAATCACTTGGGATGATGCTCTCATTATAAAATACAAGAATAGCAAATGAACAAAATGCATCACCAAAGCAATTTAAAGCTTAATCTAGCACCTTGTGAATAGGTTTGATAGCTCAAGCATCATCAAACAACAACCCTTAGCTTGCACCTCAACTCAACATCATTCTTTTGTTGGACCAGAATTCATCCCTCTCCTATGAATTTGGTTTTAAACTGCTCCCTATAATAAATATCTTTTCACATTTTTTCAAGCAACTTCTGATAGTAACATGGTGAGTAGAAAAATTAATATTGTACAACCAACTTAGAAAATAAAATTCTAAATTTCTTCAATAGTTAAGATGACCATCAATGAATAATAGCAAAAAATAATCACAGTATTGCTAACTCAAGCAAGACGGGTTCAACCAAAAATTAAACACCCTAAAAAAATTCTACTAAAGCAAATTATATGAATATGAAAATGAAACTCCTCCTAACTAGCAGGGGATGGCCACCAATTCTGTTCGTTTGATTCATTGAGGAATTTTATCAAGGACATTGTGTACGCCCTTGGTACCTTGAACCAAAACTAAGCAATCATCTTCCTTCCTTTATACGACCTTAGAGGAGACTTGCAGCAACACAAAATGACACCAACCACTAACTAAAATCAATGAAAAAGCACAGAAAAAACTAGGATTGTTGGGCTATTTTGCCAATCTTAAACTAGAAGAAATTTTGCATCACCTCAAAATAGGCCATGAAAAATAAAAGGGAACTTGTGGTGATGATTCAAAAGATGATTCAGTCAAGAAATTAAAGAAAAAGTGTGAAGAGAATGTTAAAGTCCAATACCTTTTTTATCAGATCCACTACGAAAGGAAACTGAAAGCATGGATATTGTTCGCTAACTCTACGGATCTGATATAATTAAAATGGGGAGAAAGATGATTTAATGCTAAATCTCTATAATTCCCAAGCTTAGTAACACATCTTAAGTCCAGATCTGATTAGATCTAACAATGATTGAGAGAAAGACGATTTAATGCCTAAACATATGTGTTTTATATGTATGTACTTACATGTATTTGTTTATATTATAAGTTCAACTATTTGGCTAACTTGTTAGATCATTGTGAAACAATATGCCTAAATTTACACATTAGAATCACTTAAGAATATATATACTGGTTTGCCTAGGTGTTAAAATGAACAAATATAACGTAAATGGAGTTCTACATGTTAGACGCTTTGCACACCTCAAGAGGGGGGGGGGAAGGGGGGGAAGGAATAGAGGTGTTGCCCAAATGACCGTTTTTTCGCACGGAAGCTGATGGATACCCGAGAATGGGGGTATCCAGCCCAACAGGAAGGCGGCCCAGCCCAACTTCGCTAAGGCCCACTTGCCGGAACCAAAGCAAAGGACCAGGGAAGACCACCTCGGCAGCGGTACGCGCTCGGCCCCGGCAGGGTAGGTCATCCTCGGACCACCCCTGGCCGGCCTTCCGCCAATAGACTTCCGAAGACAGGTCGTACGCTCGGCCTCGACCCTGGACAAGGAAGCTGACTAAAGTCAAGATCAAGGGGTCCACGATTAGACCCCTGCCATGCCTCTGGCAGAGTTGCTATAGCCACCCTACTTGTAACCTATATTGTATAGCAATCCTAGGGTTAATGATGTGGTTGGACGCCGCTAGTGAACAACCCAATCTCAGTGGGCCCAGACCGTTGGACTATGGACCAACGGTCGGAACCCTAGTTGTAAGCTGCATATAAACCCCTTCCCTTCTAAAGGAAGGGGGACTCACGTTCGGAATCATATTCTAACTAGCACAATATTACTCTCAGTTTACTTGACCCCATATTTGTGCACTCTCGACTTAGTTCGATACTCTTCCGCCTAGTTTCCTAGGCCCCGGGTTCCTTAACCCAACATTGGTGCTCTAGTTGAGAGTGTCGAACACATCAAGCGTGCTCCAAGAAATGGTTGCGTCAAGAAGAGTGACTAGGTCATCTACCGCCAACGTCGGTGGTGGTCTCAGGATGATCGTCACGGCTCCGATCGGCGCAGGACATGACGATTTGGACGTTAGCCTCAACGACGTCGCCAACCAGAACACCACTCTACGTCACCGCATTCCCAGGCAGCAAACGAAGAATGCTGGGGTCTCAAGCACCAACCCAGCGGGTGCCTACCCAAGGCGCTGGCGTTCTGACTCAACCTTCTCCCAGCGGGCTCATGCAGGGAGGAGGCATGGTGTTGCCCGGTGACTTCAACTCACCGCTTTTCCAGTTTGGGGAGACCTCCGGTGCGAGGGCCCTAGGCCTAGATTCCAACGGTTTTTGGGCCATGATGAGTGCGATGATGTTCAATCAGCCCATGACCGGTTTCCACATGCCGGTCACGATGCAGCAGCCGACGTTCCAGCCTGAGGGACGTCGGGAAGTCCAGCAGAACGTGGTGGAAAGCGCAGAGCTTTTCTTCCAACATCTAAAGAATCTGATGACGGACTCCCGCGTGAACACTTCGGCGGGAGGACCCGAGAATAAGGAGTTGAGCCGCTCCCAGCAGCGGGATAACGGCAAGGGCCCGGAGCGTAGGGCCAACAAGAAGCAAGCTAGCGATCGAGACAAGGATACGGAAAGTAAGCGCCATGAACCCTTGAAGGAAGGACAGGGTGAGAGTGAGTCGCACGTGTCCGTGTTCAGCCGGATGCGAGTGCCGGCCACGGGACGGTTGCATGGACGGCAGAATACCTTCCTGCAGGACGGAGCAGGGAAGATCAGGATGCCCTACGAAGATCAGTGTGACCGACACAAAGAGGTCCATCCGGAAAGGCCGAGTTCCCGGATCGAGCAGCCCATCTAGCATCCGATCTTGAGAGCGCCGCAAGGGGCGCCCAACGAGGTGGATGGGGGCGTAGGCAGGTCGGGGGACGAGCGCCTCGATTTTATCTTGCAAAGGCTTGACGCCTTAGAGAAAAGAAGCGGGCCGGGGCATGTGGCCGAACCTATGTTCAGACTCCGTTCCCCTTTCTCTGAGAGGATCTTGAGGGCACCTTTGAAGAATAGCTTCCAAATGCCACCAATACCGAGGTATGACAGAACTGCCGACCCGCAGGAGCATTTCAACCGATACCAAACCCTCATGAACGTGGTGACGTTCTCAGAGGAGGTCCTTTGCAGATCGTTCCCCGCCACTCTCGACGGGTTGGCGTCTGAGTGGTTCAATGAACTGCCTGAGGGGAAGATCGATTCTTGGGAAAATTTGGTGTGGAGGTTCCTAGTGCACTTCGCCAGCAACAAGAAGAAGAAGAAGCTGCATTTCTCGCATCTCCTGTCAATCAGACAGAGGCCAGACGAGCCGTTGAGGGAATTCCTGGCGAGGTGGAAGCTGGAAACCACTAGAGTTTACGGAGCAGATGATAAAACCAGGTTATCCACCTTTCATCTGGTCTTACGATCGGGTGACTTCTCCAAGCGTCTGGCTTTGGAGAAGCCGAGGGAGTATGCCATCGCACTAGCCATGGCAGAGGACGAAGCCGAAGCGGAAGAGTTGGAGGCAAACAAGAAGAAAGAGGAGGCAGGAAGACTTGGGCCCATTTTGACGGCGGCAAAGCCTACGCCGAGGAAGGTCACTATCGATGAGCGGCCGCATTTGCCAGTCGGACACCGTTTTCGAAAGGGCAGAGATCCGCGTGACCGACGGTCCTTCGGAAAAGACGTGTACGAAGAGGGGGCCGAGGACAGAAAACCTTATCCCCCCAAGGGTCCCAAGCTGTTATTTCCGGATGAGCTTACACCTCTTACACACCCCGTCAGCGCCATCCTAGATTTCGCCGAGCATCAAGGCTTGGTGGAATATGACCTTAGATTTCCTCCGATTTGCACCGTCGGTGAGGGTCCTTATTGCAGGTTTCACAGAGCAGCTGGCCATGACACAGACGCGTGTAAGGTCCTCAAGAGGGAGATCGAGAACTTGATCCAGGCCGGGTACCTAAGACAGTTCGTCAAGAAGAAGAACACCTGGCGCAAAGACGATGGAAAGAAGAATGTGGATAACCGAGGGAAGAAACCGGCGGGAACCCAGCAGAAGAAGAGGAAGGAGATAGGCCTTCCGAGTGATGAAGAAGAAGAAACTAACCCTAGACAGAAGAGGGTTGAAGAGAGCCTAATGATCTACGGTGGTAACATCAGAGGGGACAGTGCCGAGCAAAGGAAGAAATGGGTGCACTCGGCCTACGTCGGGGACGTTTGGAGCGCACCTGGACCGTCAAAAGTCACGAAGACAGAGCCCCTCCTCTTCGGTCCCAATGACCTGCCTGAGATCCCATCCCCGCACAGAGACGCCCTGGTCGTCAAGTGCGAGATCAATGAGGTGATAATTCACCGTTGCTACGTTGATAACGGGAGCTCGGTCAACATCATGTATGTGAAGACATTTGAGGAGCTGGGGTTGAAGAAAGAGCTCCTGAAAAGAGTAAGGACCCCCTTGTCCGGATTCACAGGAGACATCATTAATTCAGAGGGCCTGATCGAGGTGATGGTCACCTTCGGTGATGGGGAACACAAGAAGACCATTCCGGTCGAGTTCATGGTGGTGCGACTCCTTAGATCCCACAATCTGATTCTGGGCCGGCCTGCACTGGAAGATCTCGATTCTGTAACGTCTGTGAAATACCTATGCATGAAGTTCCCAACTGATTCGGGAGTGGGAGTGTGCAGAGGAAACCAGAAGCTTGCCCGGCTCTGTTACCAAAAGCAGATGAAGAAGATGGATGCCTAATATCTATGGGTGGACAGCATTGTTACGGCACTCTTAAAGGAAGAAGAAGGACGCCCTCAAGCCGAGCCGGCCGAGGAAACAGAAGATGTGGTGATAATGGAGGATCAGCAGGAGAAGAAGATCAAGCTCGGTGGTGAAGAATTTTGGTTTAACTCAAAATTCCCGTAGTAGTAAAGGGAACAGACTAGACCTTTAAAAGATCAGTTTATCCCGTGTCGTCTCAAGGATCGGCCCAAGGGAAAGTTTAGCAAGACTAGCTAGACAAGATTTACTCGTTGAATTGAAAAGTTTTCAATAAGTCGAATAAGGAATGGAGATTGAATTTTACCTTTCAGGAATAAAGAGTAGGGATGTAATTATTGGTGAGGTGATGATTCTTTTTAGAGTAAAATAACCGGTTACTTTTATTTTAAATCTTTTTACTAGTAAGTAAGTATCTTTTCAAATATTTACTTAACAATCAATCCAATGTCTATAGATCAATTATCAAATTACTGGGCTTGACTTAATTAAATTCCAGATTTCTCAAGAAATATAATTTTCAAGAATAGATTTGCCTTCTCTCGATTTACAAATCTCAAGTATAAATTCTCAGTAATAAAAACTAGTAATTTGCCTTGACAATAATATAATTCAACTAAATGATTTTCTCAGAAAATTACCATCACCATTCCAATATTCACACCCCTAATT